CTGAGTCCCCGGGCTGAAGCTGCTCTGGTTGATTGGATTCCAATCAGTAGCCGGATGTGTGCGGTCCGATTGGCTGGCTCGTTTAAAACTTCGAAGTCGCGCGGGACTAATAGGTGTCTATTCATCATCGCTGCCTACGCGCCCACAAACTGTAGCGATGATTCGGTAAAGAACGACTTCTACCGCCAACTGACTCAACTCCTTCGCCACCGAAGAAGCACGGACACTGTTGTGCTGGCAAGAGATATGAACACACAAGTTGGAAAGTTGTCCAATGATGAAATGCATCTGAGCGGTCAGCACGGTGTAGGCTCCCGTAATGCTAACGGTGAGCGGTTACTTCATTTGTGTGAAGATGCTCGCTTATTTCTTGCGAGCACTAATTTCCGACACAGCACTCGCCGGAGGGTGACTTGGCGCCCACCAGCCTCGAACCAGCCTTGGATGCAGATCGACCACATTGCTATTAGTTACCGCTGGAGAGGCTGCATCCAGAATTGTCGCTCGATTTGGAGCACATGTGTGGACACCGATCATGCACTTGTATGTGCTGACATGCGGATGCGCTTTGGCGGACGCCCACGACGACGCTGTGAGCGCATTGACACCAACCAACTGACAAAGCCAGCTGTTCTGAATGCGTATCGAAGTACGCTGGCATGCGATTTGAGTAATCGCTCACTGGAGACAATTGATGATCACTGGTCACGTGTTCGCCAGACCTTACTAGCGGCAGAAAAATCCTCATGTGGTAAGTCTAATCACTAACATGGAAATTGGGTCTCTTCGCGATCTCTGGAACTTATCGATGCTCGCCGGCATATCCGGCTAGAAGCGAACACAAAGAAACTCGCAAAGAGCTCCAGGCAAAACTCCGCGCTAGCATGAAGAGGGACCACGAATCTTGGTGGTCTCATTGTGCGACAGAGATGGAAGTGGCCGCTGCCCTTGGCGACCATCGTAAGTTATTCCGTCTGATACGGGAAACGGGCAGCAGGAGACCTGATGTTAGTGAAACAATTTGTGATGAGAGTGGACAGCCTATCCACAATTTGCCAAAACGTTTGGAGCGTTGGGCTGAGCATTTTGAAAAGCAATTTAATCGGCTAGAATTGTCCGATTCGCCGGTCTCTGATCGCCCTGCTCCGTGGGCTGTCCCTTTGAATCCACCCTGTTGCTCAGAAGTCGAACGTGAGATCGGACGGTTGAAGTTGAACAAAGCCGCGGGACCAGACGATCTTCCTCCAGCCCTCTTCAAATTCGGAGGCTCTGCTCTTGTTGATACTTTACATGAATTACTAGTAAAACTGTGGGAACAGGAGATTGTCCCAACCGACTGGAGCCGCTCCGTTATTGTTCCCATCTTCAAAGGCGGCTCGCGCTCGGAATGCGGCAACCATAGAGGAATCAGTCTGATCTCCATCGCCTCCAAATTACTTGCCTCCATAATTCTTCACAGACTGACTGGCGCTCGTGAAAGCCAGATTCGTGAAGAGCAAGCCGGGTTCCGTCGTGGTCGTGACTGCATCGACCACACCTTCACCTTGCGTCAGTTGTTGGAGCACCGCCACACATATTGGCGGCCCACCCTAGTCGTGTTCCTCGACATCAAAGTTGCCTTCGATTCGGTGGATTGATGTGCCCTTTGGAATTGTTATCTCAGGAAAGATGTGCCTGAGAAATATGTAAATCTTATCCAAGCATTATATTTGCGTGGCACGGGCAGAGTGAGGGCTTACGGCAAGCTGTCGCCAATCTTCAATATCTCCAGCGGTGTAAGACAATGATGCCCGCTGTCACCTTTATTCTTCAACTTCGCTATTAACGAAACCATGGAGTTTGCATTTACAGGACATGGCTTGGAAGGTTTGGAGCTACTCCCAGGAGAACGACTTCTTGACTTGGAGTATGCAGACGACATTGCCCTCATCTGTGACAGCTCCCAGACGTGCCAAGCCGTGCTGGACAGATTAGCACTGGCTGTCAGTCGCTTCGGGCTTTGCTTTGCACCACCGAAGTGCAAAGCGTTCCTCCAAGATTGGCAGGGATCGCCTGCTGTGCTGACCCTTGGTGGGGATCAGCTAGAAGTCGTTCAGAAATTCAATTACCTGGGAAGTTGTATCAGCGCCCTTGGGATCGAAGACGAGATCACCAACCGTATGGCGAAAGCTCGAAGTGCTTTTGCTAAACTTCGCCACCTATGGCGACGGCGCGACATTACTCTCGCCCTGAAGGGTAGAGTGTACAATGCAGCGGTACGTTCGACCTTACTGTACGGTTGTGAAACATGTCCCCTAAGGTCGGCGGACATGAAGAGGCTAGTTACGTCCGACCATCGATGCCTTCGAAGTCTGGCTCACATCTGGTGGGAACACCGCGTGAGTAAGGAGCGTGTTCGACGCATTGTTTACGGCCCAGGACAAGGATTTTAACCGCTCAGCACCGTTATTTCCCTCACCAGGCTCCGATGGCTGGGCCACGTTTTACGCATGCCAGCCCACCGACTCCCGCGACGTGCGTTGTTTGCTCACCGGGGATGTGGGTGGAAGAAGAGGAGAGGTGGCCAAGCGATGACTTGGTCAAGAGGAATGAAGTCCCTCACTTCGGAGCTAGCCTCGGTTGGAGCGTCACGGCTCCCTGGTTGGGGTCCAAAAGACAGTGAACACGTTTGGTTGGATACACTTGCTGACATGGCAAGGAGCCGACCTCAGTGGCGTTTGTGCTGTGAGTTTCTTTGTCCCTCCCCATCCCTTTTAGCCTCCCCCTCCATCTACGATCTCATTTCCTAGGGTAAAACATGATTTAAAATTTTTTTTCTTTTTGCCTAGTAGCTGGCTGGAAGCTTACCGGAACGACGCTATCCGTTGCTGGTAGCTCTGCTGGCATACAACTGTTGTATCTATTTTTCCTTTGTGTATTGTATTATGTGTATGTATGTATGTATTTCCTTCATGTATTGCGGCACAATAGCGGAGGTGTTTTCCCACCTCTAGATGATGTGTATAATGATGATAATGATGATGACAGGTCATGGAACTTCACAGCATTCTGTGACCAATGGTTAATTTTACTGGCGAGCTGCATACACTCTCTCAAAGGAAGAATGCGCTATCGGTTGTGGATGGCTGTCTGCTCTACTCGGAACGCATTGTTATTCCAACTGCGTTTTTCCGCCTAATCTTACGTCAGTTTCACAGAGGACACCCTTGTATCAGGAGGATGAAAATGATCGCGCGATGCTTCGTGTTTTGGCCAAACCTTGACTCATAAGTAGAACATTTGGACAAGTCGTGTTCCAGGTGCACCATCGCCAACAAGACCCCCAGAAGAACAGAACTGTTTACCTGACTACCAGCATAAGGACCATGGGAGCGCATCCATGCAGCTTTCTTTGGTCCGGTAGATGAGCAGCAGTATCTTATCCTCTTCGATTCATTCAGCAAATTGTCCGATGTTATTCGTATGGACCGAACTACCAGTGGTTCCACCATAAATATACTGAGGCTATTGTTCAGCCAGCATGGACTACCTGAGGCCTTGGTTCCGGACAGCAGCAGTCAGTTCATCTCCATCGACCTCACCGAGTACTGTGCACAAAACGGCATCACACCTTTGCGTTCCCCACCGTTTCCTTTTCAGTCAAGTGACCGAGCAGAGCGATTTGTTGATACTTTCAAACGGGCACTTTAAAGATATGAGGAGAAGGTACTACTCGGGAGCTCCTGGATACGTACTTGTTGATGTACAAAACCGCCCCCAGCCCACAAACGCCAAACCAAGTGTCGCCCGCAGAAGCATTAATGGGAAGGAAGCTCCGGAACCAACATGAATTGTTACACCCAGAATACGAAGCCTAACATGAGAGAAACTTACAGACGGAGGGGCATTACCATTTGCGGTATGGAACAAAACCACGTCATTTCACCCCAGGGCAGAGTGTCATGCTCGGAGGCTACCATGAAGGAAGGTCACGGTGGAGGACGGGATTATTCAAAACAGAACGCAGCAAGTTGCAGTGTGTAACCGCATATAGATCAGGCACGCAAATCAGTTCAGGACGACAGCCACCTGTGTCAGACCCAGACGACGCAGGTTGCTGTTTGATCAATTGCTGGAGCGGCGTGATGTGCCCCCGGAGCGCCATAACTTCTCGGCTCCGCCCAGCATGTGTGCCTCTAATGTTCCCAGTCCGAAACCTCGATGGTGGTCAGTACACCCGCGAAGGCCTGTGACCACAATGCAGCTGGACTCAAGTAGGAAATCATATGTTTGCTTCACATGGGGAGGCTATTAAGGGATCGAAACAAACGAGCCCACGATCGATCATCGCCGTGTGGATTTAGAACATCAACCAGAACTTCAGTGCAGCCCTACTTAGAGCTACTAGCTAAGTTCAGCACAAGATGTAAACTCTGTTAGAGGTTTCATTGATTGCAACAACCAATTGGCACCTCGGGTACGATTCATTGGCTCCACTGTGTTAAGCAGCGTTGCTTCACTCTATATGTTCCACGGTATTTCCCATGCTATAGAATTGTGTACTGCCTCAGCTTGTCTACGCGTTCTCGTCTACGGTCGGTGGTTTTGCGCACTTGTGTTGGGGTTTAAGCAGCAAATCCGCGTCGACTGTACAGCTGACCTCACTGAACAGCTATAATTGCTTAAGCTTACATCTTCTTCCAGGACAGGGACATTATTCAACAAATTTATTCATCACATGCGATCTATCTTGGCCCCAGTTGGTTTGCAAAACTTTTGTAAATTTCAGTTGCAACTCCTGTTGCGTTCGCTGCAAATCGATCTATTCTCTTTTACAATAAGTTACCAATGCTTACATCGAGTTCTCCCCCATTACATTTGGACTCGAGATGTTGAACTACCTTGGATTTCCAAGTGATTTTGCCGCTGCAATATTTAATGGTGTTTGTTAACTATATTGACGCACTAACCATTCAAACTTTGTCTCAAACTCATTCCGACGATTTTATTGTGTGTTGCAGCCTGATGAACGAAGAAGCAGTCCAAGTAACATTGACGAAGACATGGACATGGCGCGACGAATGCTCGCCGCGGCACGACGGGAATCAATGTGGCCTGGAAAAGGCTCTGTACGTAGTGGTGATTAATTTTTACCAATACGACTATCATTGGTTCAGCATACTCAGAAAGCATACTTTGGCACCATTTGAGTTCAATTCAAAATAGTTGCTTATGGGTGACACCTTGGTCTAAGCTACTGTTTTGAGCGTAATTCTAGAGCGTTGTTACGATTCATTTCGTTCAATTTTTAAGTATTTTCGCATCCGCCCCAACATATCATTTGGAATTAGGAGTAAAAGCATTCAACACTATATATCAGCCACTTGTACATGTTCAGACTAACCATCGTCATGTAGGTACACGATTGACTTGCTCGTCTTCTGGTCCTAGACGGAAGCAGCAATTATTTCATGAACATATCCCTAAACGAATTCCAAATTTGAGTAATGCCCAGTGAGCCACAGCTGAGCGCCACTTATAGTTGGGGAAAACTGTCCTAATTGACGTATTTTGTCATGGGCACAGCGAACATTATCATGCTAAGCGCGATGCCTTGATTGTAACGTAAGTGAAGGAGGTGAACTGTGAAGCAATCTGCCTTTAGTTATGCACTGATTGTAGGACTATCCTACTTGTTAGGTACATAGATCTTTTGGCGCAGCAATACGATACTCTGCTGGTATTGATCGAAGAATCTAGACTTGGTAATTGTTTCCCTACGAAACAACCACAGCCGGGTTCAGGGCCAAAGGCTCTACATCTGCAGGCAGGAGCGGAGCGTAATGCTAGGTACACGGACAACTGCGATCCAAGAGCATACAAATAACCAAGTTCCACCTACTGCGGTGGTTCCAATCGTGGCCAGATGGATAGTACCTGAGAGGAAGCATGTAGGGCAAGCTATACATTCTATTACGTCCCTTGGAGCGATCGGGCCTAGGATCATGATCACTCCGATCTCCTGAAGAACGGAAAATCGCTCATTATTCACTGTGTCCCTTAACTTCAAATCTCCGATGAATATGAAGCTCATGCTCATGACTAAGAGTAATGGCGCCACAATCGTCAGGTGCCCTCACTCAATAACGTGATCGTAAAAGCCACCTCAAGGATGTGTTTCCAAGGTTATTAAAGCTGTGCTCCAATTCAGACACATGACGGAGAGCGCACTTGAAACCTGGCACAAGTGCAATAAGACGCTTCACTCTCAGCTACGCCCAACGGCGTTCAACATCAGACCCCGCTTGACTGTGAGAGGGAATGGGACAGCAAAGTCACCGGGGTCTAACAGTGACCCTACTTATTCTCAGTTCGATATAGGACTACTGTGGGGTACAATCAACTGCCGAGAAAGCAGCGATATGCTCAATAGTTACTGAAATCAGTCTTTTCTCCTGTATTTATATGAAATGGCTCAAAGTTCGATGTCAGCAGTTCTAAAAAGCGATTAGTTGTCAACTTTACAATGGGTGGCGAAACCTCACCCTGGCAATAACACCCTTAAGTATGCTTCTGACATGCACTGCGCTCTTCGATATGTATACCAGTCTTCATAGCATCTTAAACAAACTATCTGTTTTAATCTCGTCAAGCCTCGATAGCTATGGACCTGATAATGATATCTGAGACTTGGCTGAGCGGTGAAATCACTGATACACAGATCGCTGTACCAGGTATTCCGTACTGCTTATAGATCGACATACTAGGGGAGTGGTGTGATTGTATACTATCCCAATGGCCATTTAGGACCCAGAAATGCAAGTTGTTAACTCTCTTTGGTGCCACCCGCAACAAAAACATAGCGACACACATTTAATTTCCCTCATATACTGCTCTCAGATTTTCACCCTATAAATGGACATCTGTCTAGCTTGTGCTCGAAAAACCGTTTCTGCACCATCTAACATCCAAGTTCTTCCTGTGAAGAGCTTAAACTTGCACACTATAGAGGTTCCGATTTCCCTCGGTGAACGGTTTAAGGCCGAAGTACCTGAATTATTCACTGGCCGATCACTTCATAATCATATTACGTCGCCTACAAGGTTCATAACGGAAAAAACCGGCTGTTCTGGACGTCGTGTTTGCTAATGAGGAAATTGTCATCTACCAAATGATAACAGCCCCTTGCAGCACAATCTTGCGGCTTTTCTGCTACGTCTGTTAAGCAGAACACTTCAACAGGGACATGGACGATGTTCGCATCACACATCACAACATTTTACCCGACCTCATAAAGAACACTGCACAGTCATTTCTAGCTGTAGAACCCCCACCCTCGCGACGTAGTTCGTCGTTGGAAACTCAGTGTATACTAACTCAAATAAGGTAAAGTTCTTATTTAAGAGTAGGAGGCGGCAACGAATGACCTTGAGAGATTCACCTTTCACAAGCATACAAAGAATCCAAACGCCGAAATCTGGCATGCCTACATAAATATATGAAACCACTGCGTCAGACTGGTCCATGAGGACGAATCGAAACGCCGATAGGAGTTAGCGAAGATGTTCTGCTGCAATCCTAGGCTACTTACCAGGCATGTTACCAAGCTTCACAAAGTACAGCGAGGCATCCCTCCTCTAACCACCGTATGTGCACAAGTGCAAACTGCACAAGAAGCAGCCAGCGCTTCTGCTGTCCAGAACACACACCATCTCATGCCACCCACTCACAGATCATGTCACCACCAAGACTTAACCACCTCTCCTTCACCACCGAAGATGTGTTGGAACGACTGATGGGACTGCGTGAGCACATTTCACCTGGTCCGGAGAACACACGCCTCAAGTCGCTGAAGGTAGCTATCACGAGCTTGGCTGAACCGGTGTCTCGGTTTTTTCAGCGGTCTCGCCCAGATGAAGGTTTCAGCTGCAAGGAAGCTTAGAATAGTCCCTCCCATTTACAAGGAGGCAATCGCGTCGTGCCCACACACTACCACGATTACCCTTCTTACCGTGCTTGCTAAGATGAAGGAACCGGTCATTGCAGAAGCACTCGTGAGATCTATGGAAATATGTAGTATCAGCATGCATAAGTAGCACTGCTTTCGCCAAAAACTTTTTAGGCACTACGAACCCTTTGTTAAACATTGCGACCTGGGCGGAATCCGTCAATGCTGCGGAATGATTTGACACTGCCTACCTTAATTCCTCGAAGGGTCTCACTCCAGTTTATCACCACATTCTTTTTTATGCGCTTCAGTGGTATGGACTTAATGACGTCATCCTGGGTTGGTTGCTTAATTTCTACTCCAGCGCTGCTTGAATATGCTAGGTCGTAGCGCCATGTCTGACCCGACAAAGGTGTATTGTGGTGTCCTGTTAGGGTCAGTACTAGGACCATGAATATTCCCAGTGTTCATCAATGACCATGAAGAAGAGCTGACCTCAATCGTTTTACTCTTTATGGACGGACTCAAGATGTAGAGAGTAATCAACTGGGTAGGTGACTACATAGCATTGCAAGATAATATCAACAAAGCTTATGAGTGGTCAGCTCAGAATATGCTTGAGTTTAATGCTATCAAGTGTAGAATAATGAGCATACGCCACCTGTGCACTTCCCGAAGAAGTTATCTAGGAGTATTCGTGCAGGACGATCTCGAATGCCCAAGTCTGGCCAAGAAAGCAGTGTAAATATTTAACCAACTCTTAGGTCTACTGCGGACGACATTTGGTCGGTTCGATCCCACTTTCTTTATATGAATGTCCCACGATTACATGTGTCCGCATGTAGAATACGGCATCTAGGTGCGGCACTTTTGATAAAAATATAACCTTACTACCCTTGAGAATTCACAACGGAAGACAGCTGAAAGTGTTACAGGCTTACTCTACCTTCCTTATCATTTTAAGCTGAAGACTCCAGGTGTTTTCAATGAACATGGTAGTCGTCTGCGGGGAAATCTTATATTAATATACCAGATCCTCTGTGATCCTAACCAACCATGTAGAGCTTTATTGAAACGCAACCACAACATGTCACTGAGAGACCGTCATTTGAATACAGTATAGACGATTGGAATGTCACCGGAACGTTTTCTCCACTCCGCATTCTGTCACCCTCGTTCATCGTTCAAAATTCGACTCGACGAGTCATTGTACCACCTGGACAACTTGAGTTATCCCAAGTTACTGGGACACTGTAACGTAACCAAACTATGTCTACACATGAAATACGCTACTTTTTCTTTTTGGTCTCTCTCTTTGCCTACGGAACTTGTTAGGCATAAGCATTTTCTCCGTGATACATCCATTGTTCCATTAACTCTGACAACTTTGCACCTTTCTATGAGACCGTACATTCTTGCACTGTGTGCTTATTGCTCCGAAGTTTCACCGAACAGATACTTGCCATGGGTACATCCGGTGGTGGATTTCGTATTAGGTTCGAAGTCAATATTCACATTGCTAGTAACGTTTGGTGATCCCATTTTTATATGCACACCATAGGCAACGCCACCTCGCACACTGACGTCGATACATGTCGTCACCGAGTTTGCCGCTAAGAGAATTAATGAAATCCGTCAAACTCTTTATGTTTGCCCATTGTTTGCCCATACAATAATTTTGTTGCATAAAGAGACTCAGAAGTGCGGTGTGTACGGTCAAACCTATCTAAGGCGACCACTCAAGAGACCAACAAAAGGTGATCGCCTTGGACAGTGGTCGCCATAGACAGGTTCATGCATAGGGACATTGCTCATAGGAGGCGTTTTGGCTGGTCGCCATAGACAATGGGTCACCAAAGCAGATTGGACTGTATAGGCTAAGTAACTTTAATAACTCAACCGGAGGTTTTCGTAGGGAGATTTGTAAACAACTTTCCCAAAGGTCATCATGACCGCAACAAAATGTTGGTTTTCCAACTGTATGATGATGATAATTAATTGCATCTGGTGCATTGTCGGTGAGGATTCAATCTTCTCCCTCCTTCTCACCAAGGTTCAATGAATGCCAACGTCTAAACCATGTGAATTTGGAACCATGTTCAAGGTTCTCTTCCCATCTGTCTGATCTAGTCAAACTTCTTCGCTCCATTCAAAGCTGTCAGTGGACAATCCTTCAGGCTCGTTACAGCGAAACAATTTGCTCACTACATCATCCGGTTGGTTAGTTGGTCGGTTGTACAGACAAAATCAGCAAGAATTGTTTTTCATTCACAAAATTGTGCACTGCATTTTGTGCATTTACTTTCGTTGACAGATTTCTCTCTTTCATAGCGAGACCTCCCAATTCTGTAACAGATAAGCTTCAATATTTTACAGATTGCGTCCGACAAACAGGACTGTAGGTCGGTTTCCTGTAATATATTTATGTTTCTGGAACGCATTAGTCTTTTCACCTTACTGCAGCATGGTTTTAGTGCTGATGGTTTTAAAAAGTATCCACTTCTATTCGGCTGCCATTATGTCACAGTGATTTGTGATCAGGCTATGTTTACTCTGCAAAGTCAACAAACCAGAGCGTGACTTGCTACTGCCGCTTATGATCTAGTCGTGTGGAAACCGTTTGTGCGCAATAGGCTTTCAAAATTGGTTAGCAAAGTTTACAATGAAATCCTGTTCAACGCGGTAGCTGCAATAATTAGTCTACGAGCTCGCGCCACCGAATTTTCGGTTAAACTGATGAGATCCACTAAATGGGTACACTTTCCGGATTGGAACTCGTTCTGTGGACCATCCTTTAGACAAAATAGTTGGAATTCAAGAGAAAATAAAGCGATACAGTGATTTATTCATTAAGAGTAAGTAGATTTTGGAGCTTGGCACCAGAAAATAAGCAAACGCCTGCTTGCCGATTCTTTCGGTTCGTTTGGACGTGGTGTTTAGTGCGAATGCAGGATTCACAAAGCTCTACTCATTAGAACGCATTCATCATCCGTAAGAGAAAAACATAAATAGAATTACGTTGTCTATCATTTTTGACTTTTTCAGCCACATCCTCCACAGAGTATTCTTCGTTTTCACTACAGCTTCAATACGACTGGACACTACCTTATACTGTCCACATTGAGAGTTAGCATTCAGACATTTTTGGCATTTGCAGAGAAGCACGATTTGTTGTATGCCCGTCTTGCATGACAGTCTTTCAGACATCAGACATTAATTCCTTTAAAAACGGTACTTTATGTACTCAAATCCTATGTACTGCATTCGCTTTACGATACTGATTATAAACACCAATTAGGGTTGCATTGCGTAGCGAAAGTATAAACGCACAAATCTTCAGCAAACCTCATAGGTGCATAAGAAGAATTCTATCGAAACCATGGGAAGGGGTCCTTAATAGCCTTTTCCTATCTAGTTACTTAATCAGCAGCCGTTATAAACTGTGACATCAACATAACGTTGCTGTTATGTAACGAGCTTAACCATGCTCCACTCGTTTCTGTTGCCAAGCAACACTTTTCCACGAAAGCTACTTCTTCAAGTAATGATATGCCGAGATCGTTTGCAAACTTCTGAAGGGTTAGTGTATGGTCATATTTCTAAACTTTGTATGATGATTATAGAAGGCGCTTCTTTTGGGATACCAAACATGATTTTAACTAGGTGTTTCCTTTGTCTCATCCCAATCGTATCGACTGAATTTGACATGTTAAATCTCTTTCGTTTGACCTCGTTTCATGAGTTTCCACAGGTGCACATATTCTTGTGTAAGAAGAACAGAACAGACCGATGAGTAGTAGTGCACTTTCAGTCAGCACACGCTGTTGCTGCCCATGGTGCAACAAGTGGTTTCGTCACTGTCCATAACTGTTCAAAAGATGCTCGCTGTGGTCCAATGTGGGGCATAAGCAGTAAGTGCTTTCATTTCTGTTCATGCCCACTATGTAAAATGTCCGGAGCTGTGCGTTGAATCCTAAACGTCATATGTGCCGGTTTTCGCCTTTAACGCCATAATGTCATACAAGACCTCCTGCTACAACTCAAGTACACAGTAACCATTCCAGACCAACAACGAGATATTCAGAATGTTATTCGCGCGCCTAAGAGACGATTGCTAGCCGATTTGCCTTCGTGCACTTGTCTAGCTAATAAATTATTCTCATAGTATTGGAGTTACTAATATCTAATAGAAATGTGTGAGTCGGACACTTCAGAGGAGAACGCGTCATATTTTTTAGCCGTAACTAACCAGTGTCCTAAGTGCAACCGAGCAAAGCAAAAGGAATTGGGTCGATGCACAACGTCTAAGTAGTGATAATTGAGACCGGTTCGGATAAGACAGTTTGAGTGCAGGGTTTTATGTTGCTGCTACTAAATCTACCTTTTACTTAAATGTTATTTCTTGTGTTTCGAACCGCAACTGTTATTTGAGCCCTATTATTGTGTTGGCAACTGGTAAAAGAGCAGTAGTACCTCCCCGGTGGACTTTATTGGGAAGCATCGAAAACCCCATGCTGACCTCTTGCTTACTGTCGTCAGTAGCATCAAATCGGCCTCGACTGATTGCGTCGAGAACACCAAGTACAGAACTGATTTGGATTAACGCGGACAGAGCTCAAACGAATGCACGAGGAAAGCAACCAGAGGAAATTTGCCAGGTCGTGAGTGATGCAAATTCATGAGAGATATATAAATATCTTTTTGTTCAGGAATAATATATTTTGATCGAAACCCAGCCTCTGTTTTCGATTCTTGGAAGACCACACACGACTAGTAGCACAGAGATTTTATCGTTATCTAATCGCAACCCACGTGGTCTTACGTAGTGAGATGAGTTACATCCGCTCGCCTCTGGGGTGTTGTGGAACCCATTCTGTGGACCCGTTTACTGCACACCGAAACTGTAGTATCTTGTTCATTGCATCACTCATTGCCACTTCATTGACTGTGCGTGCACTATTTTGGGTGCGGTACCAGACAAAAACGATAACAAAGTAGCTAGGAGTTATTATACAAATGTGTCTCCTGCTCCTTACCGAAGACTGAATTTTGTGAACACTTCCTTAGTGCCATCAGACAGCTGTCCTAAGTCCCATCCAGCCTCAATACGGAGAAATGCTGCAATGCTTCTGCATCCTTTATATTGATTTGCTGTGCAGTGTTTGCTGAAAGGGTTTATTAAATCCAAACATTATACACCAGAGAATGCGTCAGGAAACTCCAAACGTGATCTACCAGGAACATTTCCAAAACCATATTCAATATTGAATGAACGAGGCTGACAGTTACACCCAGTTGAATACTTTTAATGCAAACATCTTAAGTGCTGAATGTTAGCAATTTTGGTTGTTGTGTGACCTAGCGACTCGTCAGCAGAATTATTTGACATCGCACAGCAAGACCAAACAAATGCAACCACGTCGGTTTCATCGTATCCTTGACATAACTTCAGTAGCAATGCTCTGAACGGCGGTTGAACATTTAAGGTCTGAACTGGTTGGCTTAAAATGCAGTATACAGTATATTCTTCGATAGTGCGAAGCACAGTCCAACTGAATGGTCTGATCAAGACCGACAATGCAATCGGCAATTCAAAAACGCTGTCACTTGCATCTTATCAACGCTGAACGTAACTCAACTGTGATTTTCTGCATATTGTACGACAACTGTATTAACATCTTGGATGCTAAAATGTTGCGGAATATCAGGTTACGTACTAGTGAACGAACACACGACGCCTATGTCAATTTATTCTTTTCGCTGACAGATTTCCATCAACTCTGATAAGTGTTTCAACTAGATTTCTTCATTTCCTCAAAAGCTGAAAATATGTGGGCCAATCGTGTAATCGACGGCTACTTGAATGAACTGGTCCGGAAGGAAGTTGCTCGTGAAGGGTCGTCCACTTGTGTCGAATAAAATTAATCCCAACTCCACGTAACCAAGTGGCTGTCTGACAAACGAAATATTGATGTCGAATTGTTGCTGCATTTCGAAGCGTTTTGTTGCTTGTCCGCAAGTCACGGACTTCAGCTAGCGTTCCAACGTGTGTTTGGTGACTGTCTACTGTGGATCAATTTTAATAATTTTGGCTTAAAAATCATTAAAGCAACGATTATTTGACGGTTAGTGGTTGCACTTTTAAGCCTTCTCGCTGAATCACACACTAATGAAGGACTAGGAGGTAATTTGCTTCGAGCCTTCAACCTCGCTTTTACGACGTTAAAGGGATATGTGGATCACATACATAGTGAACATCGACACAGTGTCGACTGCATATGAAGAGTAAATTCGTAAATTCAAGTGATAATCATAACCATGGGAATTCTAGAGGAAATCCCATCTACCTGAAAAGCATACACAGTGAGGAGCCCAAGTGTTTGAAGTTTCCACCAGAGGTCCCAACTGCCGTCGAGCCTAATCTACTTGATTATTGTCTACGGTGATCGAATGAACACAGCTCCACTTCCATCTTAACTGGTATCACTTCTGTTGGTAACATCAGGCATGCCATTGGTGCAAGTGTGTTTCATTACCAGCTTTGTAACTCGACATTGTTGCGCATTCTGAAGGGCTTCAGTCTACACTTGTACTTGCTGTACGTGACTTGTGGCTAACAGGTTGCATAGGTACGTCCGGGCTCTACGGGTTACACAACTATGAGGAAGACTTGTTTCTAAACACTTAATGTGTAATGCGCACGCATAGTACTGATCAGTTGCCAACGAACTAGATGGTGAGCTACATACTACTACTGTAATCAGATAAAACATAAGCATTTGCAGCTACCATGATTTGCTTCTTGGAGATTTAAACTAGATATCTACCAAGACAAGGTTATATTCTCTCAAAACACTATAGCACTGGATTGTTGTCATATAAGCGTCAATCACGACAGGTAATGCACCCAATACCATAGGTGAACGGAAGAAGCTAAAACCTGCGTGTGCACGCACGTAGGTGATGTTAAGGGGGTGTAATACGACGGCACCATTCATGTCACTGATCGCCTTGATGACAGTACGGGCCAGTACCCTTTCATCCGCCGTCAGTGTTGTGTCA